TGAGTATATTTACCATAATTTTGGATTTTGTTGAGTTATTCTAAAATATGGAGAGGGTGGTGTTGATGTACATAACTTTTTACTCCTTTAATTTTCAAATTTTGCTATAAGAGGGTACAAATTGTATTTTTGGGGGGTGTGTGTGAGTTATTTTGAAAATGCGTTATGTTGGAAATAAAAATGTAAGATTTTGAGAAACTACGTATTTTTTTAAAAGTGTCGAAGTTATGGTTTGTGTTGGGAATGAAAGATGATCATAAAATTATGATTTGAAACTTATATGCTTGGTACCGACAGATAGAGGATTAGTAGACAGTTGGGGCCCTTAAGGGGGGTTCCCTAAGCGGCTACTAGTCCTAGGGGAATTGGTGATGGTAGTGATTTTTGGTGACTGTCGTGTGACATCACAAGTTATGCTTTACACATTCCTCCTAAAATGCAAAAAAAGCAATGAGACCCTAGGGTGCAAGACCCAAAAGGTTTCCCAAAGATGGTTCATTCGTAAATTGATGTTGGTTTGATAATATTTATCCATATGGGTAGCATACATGGATTTTGAGTGCCAAGAAACCAATAGACCAATATTTCAACAAACCTCTTGAGTGGAGTGAGATTGTGGTGAAAGTACGTAGAGCTAATATTTTTTAAAAATAACTTGGAAAGAATAAGTTTAAAATTGTGTTAAAAACAAGAAATGATTGTTTTACTAGATTTATCATCCATATACTTGCATAAAGGTTTATGTGACGCCCCTAAAATCGTGGGTCCTTTATTAACTCGTTGACCATCCATCAACTGGTGAAAATACCCGTTAATGCCACATAACCCAACACCACGACATAACATCCCCTTTACCGAGATCACAACAATACAAAGTTTGGGCAGAATCTCACTTGTACCAGGTACTCCCAAACGCATAACCTGTGTATACTACATCACTTGACCCATTCGAGGTCTAATATACATTAATTTATCTTCATTTAATGTCCATTTATATCATTTAAACAAAAGAACCCAATACCCATAGGCCGCAAAACATTTCAAAATTTGAGATTTTAACAAAACCTATTGGTAGAAGATGAGAAAGATCTACCGGTAGAAAAAGGCTATTGGAAAAGTTCTACCACAAAACTTGATGTTCTACCGATAGGTTTATCCTACTGGAAAAGTTCTACCGGTAGAAGAACTCGTCGTTCTACCAGTAGGTCTTAACAATTTTTCCTTGTTTTCATCTTTTTTCAATTCCAATTCATTTTAAACTTGTACAATGCCAACCCAAACACATATAACATCATTTTAAACAAAAATACAGTTCATATGAGTTCTATTTATAATCCTTTACAATATTACATGTCCAAAACTCAATAACATAATAGTTTTTACAAAAAATGTTTCAAAAGCCACATCTTGGCTTTTCTTCAACAATGAGGGCCCAATTGTGAGTCGTTCATCAGCGCATATCCCGCATCTGAAATGTTGTCCCTATAAAGGGTGAGTCACGCTNAACCAACGGTACTTTCATAGATCGTTGGAGTTTTTTCTATTTTTGCCTCTCTTCCTCTCTCCAACGAAACCTAGCAGAATGTGTGGGGAGAAAATCAGATTTTCTCCCCTATTCATATCCTTTAGGTGCTTGGTCCATATCATCTCACATGTTCCTCATTCTGGGGTCCGATTTCATCCCAAAACGATTAAATTTCTTCTTGATTCAAGTTCAAAATATTTTTATATAAACTTCCTTTAAATTATTTTTTAATTTTTAAAATTTAATTCCATGTCTCATTTTTAGGTCATACGATACCCGATTGTTTCGTTAAATGTAAAAAATTCAACTATCTTAAAATTCGATAAAAATTTTCTGGGTAGATAGATTTCACGAGACGAATCCAATGGTGAGATCCATTTTGTCATCTGAGTTCTAGAAAAATTTAGGTTTTCAACCCGTATTGTAGTGGTAAATTACTGTTTTGCCTTTTTTCATAAAAATTCAAATTTACCCCTGTTTTATAGATTCTCACTTCATGATTTATAAAATCAATGGTGTTGCATCATGATTTAAGAAGAAAGATTTTATAGTATAACCTTGAGATTTGGTTTCGATATGGTAAATTTCTTGATGTTTTATTTATGTATTTTAAATAATAGTACGTAGTGTACTTTCAAAAATACTAACCAATTATCATGTTCTTAGACTTATTGATGAGTTATTTTATTATCTATTAAGTTGACATTTAAAACCTTGTATATACTTGAAAATAGATTATCCTATTGAGCGTATGGTTAATCCTTATCATTTAATATTTTCAGTTAAGGACATATGTTGGTGGACTGTATTGTGGGAGTATCAAGGTAGAAGATAGTTGTTGTAATTTTTATATATTTAGTTAAAACACATAAAGAACTTAAGTGATTTATATCTTAGTTAATTTAAGAAAATATGTATAAATTGGACCTTTTAAATGCTTTACTTATAAAATTTTTAGATATTATGCTCATGACGAAGAATTTTGGATAATTAGATTATAAACTGAGTTTAAGAGGACTTCATGGATCTTCATTTGCCACTCTGGTATTGAATGATAATGATTTATTTGTGGATGTCATAAGAAGATATGTATATGGTTGATATGATGTGAATGACTAGTTAGGTATGATTATTATGTTTANGACCAACGGTACTTTCATAGATCGTTGGAGTTTTTTCTATTTTTGCCTCTCTTCCTCTCTCCAACGAAACCTAGCAGAATATGTGGGGAGAAAATCAGATTTTCTCCCCTATTCATATCCTTTAGGTGCTTGGTCCATATCATCTCACACGTTCCTCATTCTGGGGTCCGATTTCATCCCAAAACGATTAAATTTCTTCTCGGTTCAAGTTCAAAATATTTTTATATAAACTTCCTTTAAATTATTTTTTAATTTTTGAAATTTAATTCCATGTCTCATTTTTAGGTCACACGACACCCGATTGTTTCGTTAAATGTAAAAAATTCAACTGTCTTAAAATTCGATAAAAATTTTCTGGGTAGATAGATTTCACGAGACGAATCCAATGGTGAGATCCNCACAATTTTGTGTATCATTAATTTCGACTCGAAATATGTATAAATTTTTATAGAAAATATTAAAAAAATTAAGTAATTATTGGAAGAAGTTTTTTTTTTATCCAATTTTTTTGGAAGAAGTTCAGTTAAAGTTTAGATGTAATTTGTAAAATTTTAATTAAATAAAATTNAAAATTTACCCCTGTTTTATAGATTCTCACTTCATGATTTATAAAATCAATGGTGTTGCATCATGATTTAAGAAGAAAGGTTTTATAGTATAACCTTGAGATTTGGTTTCGATGTGGTAAATTCCTTGATGTTTTATTTATGTATTTTAAATAATAGTACGTAGTGTACTTTCAAAAATACTAACCAATTATCATGTTCCTAGACTTATTGATGAGTTATTTTATTATCTATTAAGTTGACATTTAAAACCTTGTATATACTTGAAAATAGATTATCCTATTGAGCGTATGGTTAATCATCCTTATCATTTAATATTTTCAGTTAAGGACATATGTTGGTGGACTGTATTGTGGGAGTATCAAGGTAGAAGATAGTTGTTGTAATTTTTATATATTTAGTTAAAACACATAAAGAACTTAAGTGATTTATATCTTAGTTAATTTAAGAAAATATGTATAAATTGGACCTTTTAAATGCTTTACTTATAAAATTTTAGATATTATGCTCATGACGAAGAATTTTGGATAATTAGATTATAAACTGAGTTTAAGAGGACTTCATGGATCTTCATTTGTCACTCTGGTATTGAATGATAATGATTTATTTGTGGATGTCATAAGATGATATGTATATGGTTGATATGATGTGAATGACTAGTTAGGTATGATTATTATGTTTAATACTCTCACATGTATCTCTTACCAATTATCTGGTGCCCAATTTTTAAAGGAAACTTTACCGAAATTAGGGTGCATTGTATTGAGTGAATTTTTTTTTACAACAAACCAATATGTGTTTTTGGAATAAAGAAAGGGTTTTTTTTCCTCAAGCTTTTATAAAATTTGAGGCATGATGCAGCCATTCCCTATGGAGTAGCTCACTCAGATCGAACCACCTAATATGTGTGTTTGATTGTGTTGAGCATATCCCATCACATACTTTATTACATACTGAATTGATTTTGCATATACAATTTTGTGTATCATTAATTTCGACTCGAAATATGTATAAATTTTTATAGAAAATATTAAAAAAAATTAAGTAATTATTGGAAGAAGTTTTTTTTTGATCCAATTTTTTTGGAAGAAGTTCAGTTAAAGTTTAGATGTAATTTGTAAAATTTTAATTAAATAAAATTATTCGGATTAGATATAGATGTTAAAAATAAAATTTATCAAATAATCAAATCAAATTCAGTCCTTGAAGAAGTGGATAACTTTGATCTTGGGAAAAAATGTAACAGCCGAGATTCGTCGAAGGGATAAAAAAAGAAAGAAGAGAAAAAAAAAGAAGTTTTGTGTTTCTTTCTATCCAAATAAGAGAACAAAGAAATCTTTATCAACTTAAGCAGATTTTATTTTATTTTATTTTTGACCAAAAAAGCAGATTTTATTTCAGATCGTTTTTTCATAAAATAAATAAAAGGTCTGTATAGTGGATGAAGGTCAAGTCGATCCAAATTTCATCCGGGACCTTTAATCGACCCAACATACTTAAAATAAAACCCACGAAATTGAGAGGATCCGGAACCGAGTGGGGCTGTCTGTTGGGCGCGTGTTGTATGGATGGTTTGTTTTGTTTGGTTGGCTTTTATTTCTTTTCTCCTTTGTTTTTGTGGAGAGGAGAGAACGAACGCTCTACCTCTCTCCCTGTACAAACTTCCGCTTCCTAAACCTTTTTCTACTCCCTCTAACTTTGGTCGTTGGTTGTGCAATTTTAGAGTGGTGATCAGCTGGAAATCAATGGGAATTTCGGTCCTGGGATATGCTAGCGTTACGGAGTGGTGATGGACGTTGTAGAGGTGTTGGTGTTGCTGGTGCTGGTGCTGGAGGCTCTGGTGATGGTCTCGTAATGGATTTTGATGCCGGAATACCCATATCCCGACAGACTGTCACCGAGGGACGCTCCTCTTTGTCTCCATCCTTGAACGAAGGTCCCCTGCTAATCAGTTTCTTCCGTGGGTGTGTGTCTTAGTGTGCGATTTTTCTTTCTTTTTTCACTAAGTTTTGAATTTCAATAACTTTTTCTTTTTGCTTTCGTTACATTTTATTTTTCAGTTATTAATGCCATGCTTGTGAATTTTATCACTTGCAGATATCGGTATGGCTTATTATTTTATTGAATAATTCTTCGTTTTAAGGTTTTTTTTTTAATTTGCCGAAATTAATTTTTGAAAAATATATTTACACCACCAAAAAGAGGAAAAAGAAAAGAAGTCATGCATGAAGATTTGATCAGGGTGTTTTTGAATTAATACGAAAATGACAGTCGTTTGGTTACTGAAATTGAGTAATGCTAATTGATATTCCCTTTCATTCTCTCTAATTGAGTTTTTTCGAGAATTTCTTTTTCTGAAGTTGGTTTTTTGCTCTCTGGAGGAAATTATCTTTTTGTTGTTTCGAGCTATTAGAGTTTTGAATTTCCCTGAATAAGTTGATTATCTCCAGTATCAAATAGGTAGTGATCAAACTTTTGGCTGTCTAACAAGAAAAGTTGTTTTTTTTTGTATCCCAATTGTGGTTTTTAAAACATAGAATTTATAAAAATGGTTTTTCATCATCTGTTAAAAGTATTATCCAAATTGGGTGTGGAAGATTTGTAAAAGATGTAATTTTGGAATTTTTGCATTGGTGTGGTTCAACTTTTTGGAAACTTAGCTCTTATTTGAAGCAAAACAAACGCCACAGTTTGGAGGCACAATTGAAAATTTCAGAATAATAGAAATCATGGTTAAGTTTTGTATATTATACACATCAATTATGCTAAAAGTTAGTAACTGATTGCTTTAATGGTATTTCAGACACATTTTGGCAAATGAACTTGAGATCAAACAAGACGATGGATTATGGACCTTATCCTGTGCGTGAAGGTGAACCTGACTGTTCTTACTACATTAGAACAGGCCTATGCAGATTTGGGGCAGCATGCCGATTTAACCATCCTCCTAATAGGAAACTGGTAAGACCTACAGCAAGTCTGTGGTTTATTACTGCTACATGAATGGGAAGTGTGTGCACATTATATATGAGTATCTTGTGCATATGTTTAAATGCATTATCCTAACGGTGGTATGATCTGCAGATATAGTTAGAGTGTTGAGCTAATGGAGCTGTGTGTACCTATTTTTACGAAGTCATAAGTGGTTATCTTGTCAAATAAATAGGACAGTCAATTTCGAATTCTTTGTCTAATTCCTTCTGTTCATAGTTGTAAATGTGCAGTTCACACGAAGGAATAACTTTGTATATATACAAACACATGCATGCATGCAAACGCTCATGCATGTGTGCACACACTCACATGCTCCTTTTGATAGGAGTGTACACATTTGGGATGTATCACCAAATGCCTAAAAGAGAATCACTTTTTTCTTGTACATTTTTGGATAAATTACCTTTTATTCCTAAATGAGAAACACCTTACCTCCCTAATGTTTGAAAATAAGCTTATAACTCCCCTTGTGATTTTGGATTGAAGGAAATCGTTAGATAATACACCAAAACTAACTCAATGTATATTACACGTGTCAAAAACGCGATGTGGGAATTGGATGGAGTTGATTCCCTCCAAAATTTAAATTTTAGAAGACCAAAATGCCCTCATACCTATATAAACCTTATTTTCCCTCTACATAGACATCCATATCACTCTCTTTCTCTATATCCACATACACACGTTCTTTGGGAGAGAAAGAAGCCATGCCAATCCATCCTATCTTGAAAGTCCTCACATTGATTATTCAACACTTTGATGTCTTCAAATATGATGCCAAACTCAGATGTTGAAACTAATATGGATGACCTTAGTCAGCAACTGGCCAGAAAAACCTGCCTCACCGGTGCTACCATAGAATCCCCAAACCATACTCCCAATTCTAACACTGAAAGGGACTTGTTTGACCACAACCCCGAGAAACACTGGTGCTGCCCAGTGGTTTCTTCTTTGTTGCACCATGTTCATTCTACATTCCAATGTCAACCCGAGTCCTATTTGAAACCAGAGGATCCAATTGAATAGATCCCTGAAATATGCAATAGACCTTTATCAAATAATGCTGCTGACAAGGCAGCTATGACAATTGGGCCTTTAGCGATGCCCATCCCTTTGACAACCCGGTAATCTATCCACTCTTACATAGTTTAAGACTAATCCTTCATATAGTTAAGCGCCCTATATATCAGAATGTTGCAGAGTTCATGGAAACTCAGACTTCCATATTCGTCATTCCTGGTCAGTGTCCAAGCTTACCTTGGTATACAACCACGACTATAAGACTTCAAAGTTACTTCTTTGAAAGAAAGTGTTTCAGTATAAATCCCAAAGGAATGGAGTGTGCCTCTNGTCAGTGTCCAAGCTTACCTTGGTATACAACCACGACTATAAGACTTCAAAGCTACTTCTTTGAAAGAAAGTGTTTCAGTATAAATCCCAAAGGAATGGAGTGTGCCTCTGTTATTAGTCAACTTGTTTTGTCAAAAGTTGTATAGAAGCAACATTTTATACTTGCAGGAAGACATTTGCCCGCCATCCCTACTAGGAATAGCTGTACATGTGTGATTTGGTTTGAGGTGTGAGAGAATAACAAAAAGAAAAGCAAGAAAAAAGAGGAAGGAGAAGGAGGCAAAAGAAGAGGGCAGAGTTATCTGTTTATTTTAACAGATTTAGATGTATCACTTTGTCTAAAACACAAGGGGGATATGAGCATATTTTTAACCTTAGGGAGGTAATACTTCTTTGGCCTAACCACAGGGCGATAAAAAGTAATTATCCTACATTTTTTATGAACAAATGTGTGCCACACCCACACCCACTCAAACACGCATGTGCAAACACAAAGATACACATACAAACACAAGCAGCATTACATAGTTTTGGGAGTGTTGATAGATGGCTCTTCCCACTAAACTATAAGTCGATGTGATTGTCTAATACCTTGATGAGTTATTTTTCAAATTTTCAAAGTCGATGGATTCTATTAAATACAAATTAATTCTAGGCTATCGCCACAGCAAGGATGAAAGGAGAGTATCCGGAGAGAATAGGACAACCTGAATGTCAGGTATGTACTTACAATTCATTTGCTTGTATAAAAGAATTTCTTATGTTTTTGCTACGTGGTGGATTCTTTCTTCATTCCCCCTGGAAGTTACAAATGTATAAATGTATTGTCAGGATAGAGTATATTGCTTCCTCATTCTATCATATTTTGAGTCTTTCTGTTAAGTTCTAACCAAGTGGTTGACTTGTTAGGACAATTTTTCACTTGAACCATCGTAGAAAGAAATGGAAAATAAATTCTCTAAGCACACCCTTATGGGAAATTCAATTGATGTCGAACATACAATAAGAAAAAGAATATGAAATTTCACATGGAGTGTGCTTATGGCCCTATTAAAACATACATTGGGTTAAAATCAGGCCAATATTTTACATTGGTGGTTAATAGGCTATTGAAATTTATTTATTTATTTTTACTAGGTTTTTGTGTGTCGGGGGTACTTTGATTATTTTGATAGTTGCTGAGCACTGCATGTAATCTGTGGGCCCTAATTTTGGTATTTTTTTGTAGTTTTCTAGTATAGTCTTATAGTCAAGGAGTCACATGTTTTCTATTACTGCATCTTCATCCTTAAAGAATAAGAGCATCTAGTAATCTAGTAATTTATCGACGCACTAATAGAGGTAGATCACGTTAGATTTGAACACTTTGTGTGAATCTTTTGAAGCTCGGCTGTTGCTTAATGCGACTTTATCTTCAAGGTTTGATTTCTAGGGAACCTTTTTGTAGAATTTTAGATGATTCTTCTTCTTTTTTTTCTTCAACAAGACCTTAAACCCATTCCTCTCACTCGCAAATCCATTTTTTTTTCCCCAAAAAGTCTCGCAAATCCATTTTTTACAAAGGCCAACTATTTCTTTTAACACGATGCAGTACTAGCAACCCAAAAACCTTCAATGGATCTAATTTCCTACTAAGCTTGAGTAGTAGTTCACAACAAGGATAAAAAATGTGTTTCGGTCATCTTAGAAATGGAAATGTTTCGTAAACAGAGAAAAAAATTAGTAACATGTGGATATATAAATAAAAATCTATTACATATCGGTAAGTTCCTTAAGCGTACTTATTATCTTAACATCCATTTTATACTAGCTAACGTCAAGTTGGAGAAGNGTCACTCGCAAATCCATTTTTTTTTTTTCCCAAAAAGTCTCGCAAATCCATTTTTTACAAAGGCCAACTATTTCTTTTAACACGATGCAGTACTAGCAACCCAAAAACCTTCAATGGATCTAATTTCCTACTAAGCTTGAGTAGTAGTTCACAACAAGGATAAAAAATGTGTTTCGGTCATCTTAGAAATGGAAATGTTTCGTAAACAGAGAAAAAAATTAGTAACATGTGGATATATAAATAAAAATCTATTACATATCGGTAAGTTCCTTAAGCGTACTTATTATCTTAACATCCATTTTATAATAGCTAACGTCAAGTTGGAGAAGGAAGAAAAAGGTTAATATAAGGTGGAGGCCACTTCAACTAACGTCAAATACTTCATTTTCATTACACAAATACAGTTGCATGATATTAAGGTCTCATAATTATCACGCCCCAAATTTCATAAAATTGTGTGATTTAAAGAAAATCTTTTGATCGGGATATTTCCACAAGTTTAAAGGTATTTAGGGAAATGATTATTATCTTCCATTTTCATCCATAGCTGTTGTTGGTTTTTGTGACGTTGACTAGGCAGGTAGTCATGGTGATAGATGATCTATTTCTGGTTATTATATATTTGTTGGTGGTAATCTTATTACTTGGTGCAGTAAGAATCAGAACATGGTTGCACGTTCTAGAGCAGAGGTTAAGTATTGTGCTATAGCTCATATTGCTTGTGAGATGTTTTGGATTTGTTGTTTACTTTGTGATACAAGACTTGATGTGTCATGTGCTGTGAAGAAGCATTGTGATAACCAAGCAACTATTGTCATCGCAAGTAATTGGCATTTCATGAGCCGCGAGCATTAGAGATGTCAATAGACCAAATCGGGGGTGGAGGGTATAGTTTTCATCCCCGTATCCGCTTAAAAAATCTTCGTCCATTCTTGGTACACTCCCGTTAACGGGTATAATTTTCATCCTCATCCCCGTCCGCAGATAAATTTCTAGTCTCCTTCTCCGTTCCCGCTTTTCTCGTATCCGCCCAAGCCCAATCCCAAGCCTAAGCCCAAGGTCAAGTCAACATAATCTAAAATTCTAAATAAATCCAATATTTTAAATAATCTAACATAATCTATCACAACATAATGTAACATAACATATTCCAACACAACACAAATAACATATGTCCAAAAAACTACTTGAATTTGAATTCTGTATCAATCAAGTACAATAGCATTCTATAGTATTGCAGCAGGAATAAGATAAATTAAAAGTAGTCCTTAATGGAAAATAAAAATAACTTCACATGCAAGATTTACAGATGTAGCTAATAATGACATACTGATTTGAAGTAGTGGTGAAATAGTTGCCAAGTAATTTGAGAGGCATACCTTCAGTCTCTGTATATTTGAAACAATCTTGGACTGAGAACAATTTCATCTTATTAGGATATTCTTTGGAAGGCCGCACTAACTGAGGTACAAGCTCAATTAGTTATGTAAATGAGACGGTGGACATAGTGGATCTCAATGGGAAACGAAGTCCCCAAATAAAATAAACAATAACCATAGTTCTTTACTTCAACTACTTTGTTATTGCACCATCCTTGACTATGAATCACTAGTTTTCAACTTGATCTACGATATATGCTAGAGTGAGGTTGATAGCCCACCCAGTGGAATCAATCCATAATATGACAGTAGTCAGAGTTATAGAATCATTGGATAGTGTATAAAGAAAGTTATAAAAATAACTAGGCAATTAAATAGTTATCAACATCGACACAAAAGTCTCAAGTTCAGAGGAACTTGGAGGATCACCTTTAATCCACCATCAGCGATTGAGAGAGAGAGAGAGAGAGATATGAGTCGATGGTGGTGGCGGGTGGCTGATAGAAAAAGTTAGGGCTTAGGGCTTGTAACTGAGAGTATATATATTTATATATATTTAACGGGNGATATGAGTCGATGGTGGTGGCGGGCGGCTGATAGAATAAGTTAGGGCTTAGGGCTTGTAACTGAGAGTATATATATTTATATATATTTAACGGGTAACGGGGAGGGGCGGGGATAAGGGTAAGTCCATCCCGCCATCATCCCCGCACGGGTTTATACGGGTATCTCCGTATACATCTACCGTCCAATACTTATATTCCATCCCTGGTCCAAACGGGACGGGTTTGAATGAATACCTATTTTTCTCCGGTCCACTCTTATCCCTAGCGAGCATGTCGAATACATTGAGGTGAATTGTCATTTTATTCGAGATTTCTTGATGTGAAAGCAGATCATCACTCCATATATCAAGTCTAGTGATCAGTTGAGTGACATTCTTACCATGCTATTGACTCAGTCTGCAAGTTGGTCATTTCTTATCTTTATGCTCTAACTTGAGCGAGAGTGTTATATTCGACATATGTTAATTAGTGTATGGTAATATTATAATTACCAAGAAGGAGTATCTATTATAAAAGAGTGTAGGGCAACTTAGCCTACAACTGATTATTTTGTCTTTTTTTGTTTCTTTTCTCTCTCGTTTGGTCATTATGTTCTTTCTTCGTAACCCTAATATTTACTGTTATCATCTCAACTTATATATTGGATTTATTGTCTAAAAGTGATACTCTTGGTGCATACTTAATTGATACTCCTATGGACTCTACAATTAAGTTAGATGCTGAGAGTGATAGAGTTTTTGATAATGTAGGGCGTTATCGGAGATTAGCTGTTAAGCAGTTATGCGTCCTGATATTATCCATATTGTTGGTATGGTTAGTCAGTCCATGCATCATTCTCGTAAGCCTTATTAGGAGGTTATTTGTCGTATTCTTCAGTATTTAAAAAGAGTACTAGATAAATGATTATTATATCGTCCCTTATCATCCATGATTATTACTGACTTTTCTTATAAACGATATACTTCGGATTACTATACATTTAGTGGGGGTAATCTTATGACGTGGTGCAACAAAAAATAGTTGCATGTCAAGTTTGAGGGTAATGACTGAATACTGGGCCATGACTCATTTTGCATATGAGATGTTATGGGTTCGTTCTTTACTTCATGATAGAGGTATTAGTGTGCCCTTTCCTATGGAGTTACATTGTAACTAGACAACTATTTTATTACCAGTAATTTGGTATTTCATAAGAGGACTAAACACATTAAAGTGGATTACCATTTTATTTGAGATCTCTTGATGTGGAAGGAGATTATCATACTATACATCAAGTATAGTGATCAGATGGGTTACATCCTTACTAAACCATTACTTTAATCTGCATTCACTAATCTTTGTTTCAGGTTGGGTATTTTTAATCTTTATGCTCCAACTTGAGGAGGAGTGTTAAGAGTTTTTATTTAATATTATTAGTAGTTAACAAGGAGTCTCTATTATAAATAAGACTGTAGGGCAACTTAGCCTACGACTGATTAATTTGTCTTTTTTTGTTTCTTTTCTCTCTCGTTTGCTCATTATGTTCTTTCTTTGTAACCCTAATATTATTGTTATCATCTCAACTTATATATTGGATTTATTGTCTAAAAGTGATACTCTTGGTGCACGCTCAATTGATACTCCTATGGACTCTACAATTAAGTTAGATGTTGAGAGTGATAGAGTTTTTGATAATGTAGGGCGTTATCAGAGGTTGGCTGTTAAGTTATCTTACAGTTTTGCGTCTTGATATTATCCATATTGTTGGTATGATTAGTCAGTTCATGCATCATTTTCGTAAGCCTTATTAGGAGGTTATTTGTCGTATTCTTCGGTATTTAAAAAGAGTACTTGATAAATGATTATTATATCATCCCTTATCATCCATGATTATTACTGACTTTTCTTATAAACGATATCCTTCGGATTACTATACATTTAGTGGGGGTAATCTTATGACGTGGTGCAACAAAAAACATGTAGTTACACGTTCAAGTTTGAGGGTAGAGACTGAATACTTAGCCATGACTCATATTGCATATGAGATATTATGGGTTCGTTCTTTACTTCATGATAGAGGTATTAGTGTGCCCTCTCCTATGGAGTTACATTGTAACCAGACAACTATTTCATTGCCAGTAATTTGGTATTTCATGAGAGGACTAAACACATTGAAGTGGATTGCCATTTTATTTGAGTTCTCTTGATGTGGAAGGAGATTATCACACTATACATCAAGTATAGTGATCAGATGGGTTACATCCTTACCAAACCATTGTCTTAATCTGTATTCACCAATCTTTGTTTCAAGTTGGGTATTTTTAATCTTTATGCTCTGACTTGAGGGGGAGTGTTCGAGTTTTTATTTAATATTATTAGTAGTGTAGAGTAATAATGTAATTACTTATTATTATTATTAAGAGAGTGTAGTACAACATAGCTTACACAATTGATTATTCCCTTTCTTCCATCTCTCTCTCTCTCTAACCCTAATATCAGTTTTATTATTCAACTTCCCTCATTCATGTCATTTGCAAACTAGTGTCGATAAAAGAAATGTGCTAGCCAAACTAATCCTTACAAATTACATGCATAGTTATTGTTTAATGGGAAATGTTAATTTTGCTCTTTAGTCAATATTATTGGAGGTTTAGCATTAGAAGTTGAAGTTGAAGAGGGTGGATGTGTATCCGCCCCAAAGTAGAGGGGGTGTTGTGTGTNTCTCGTCCATTCTTGGTACACTCCCGTTAACGGGTATAATTTTCATCCTCATCCCCGTCCGCGGATAAATTTCTAGTCTCCTTCTCCGTTCCCGCTTTTCTCGTATCCGCCCAAGCCCAATCCCAATCTCAAGCCTAAGCCCAAGGTCAAGTCAACATAATCTAAAATTCTAAATAAATCCAATATTTTAAATAATCTAACATAATCTATCACAACATAATGTAACATAACATATTCCAACACAACACAAATAACATATGTCCAAAAAACTACTTGAATTTGAATTCTGTATCAATCAAGTACAATAGCATTCTATAGTATTGCAGCAGGAATAAGATAAATTAAAAGTAGTCCTTAATGGAAAATAAAAATAACTTCACATGCAAGATTTACAGATGTAGCTAATAATGACATACTGATTTGAAGTAGTGGTGAAATAGTTGCCAAGTAATTTGAGAGGCATACCTTCAGTCTCTGTATATTTGAAACAATCTTGGACTGAGAACAATTTCATCTTATTAGGATATTCTTTGGAAGGCCGCACTAACTGAGGTACAAGCTCAATTAGTTATGTAAATGAGACGGTGGACATAGTGGATCTCAATGGGAAACGAAGTCCCCAAATAAAATAAACAATAACCATAGTTCTTTACTTCAACTACTTTGTTATTGCACCATCCTTGACTATGAATCACTAGTTTTCAACTTGATCTACGATATATGCTAGAGTGAGGTTGATAGCCCACCCAGTGGAATCAATCCATAATATGACAGTAGTCAGAGTTATAGAATCATTGGATAGTGTATAAAGAAAGTTATAAAAATAACTAGGCAATTAAATAGTTATCAACATCGACACAAAAGTCTCAAGTTCAGAGGAACTTGGAGGATCACCTTTAATCCACCATCAGCGATTGAGAGAGAGAGAGAGAGAGATATGAGTCGATGGTGGTGGCGGGTGGCTGATAGAAAAAGTTAGGGCTTAGGGCTTGTAACTGAGAGTATATATATTTATATATATTTAACGGGTAACGGGGAGGGGCGGGGATAAGGGTAAGTCCATCCCGCCATCATCCCCGCACGGGTTTATACGGGTATCTCCGTATACGTCCACCGTCCAATACGTATATTTCATCCCTGGTCCAAACGGGACGGGTTTGAATGAATACCTATTTTTCTCTGGTCCACTCTCATCCCTAGCGAGCATGTCGAATACATTGAGGTGAATTGTCATTTTATTCGAGATTTCTTGATGTGAAAGCAGATCATCACTCCATCTATCCAGTCTAGTGATCAGTTGAGTGACATTCTTACCATGCTATTGACTCAGTCTGCAAGTTGGTCATTTCTTATCTTTATGCTCTAACTTGAGCGAGAGTGTTATATTCGACATATGTTAATTAGTGTATGGTAATATTATAATTACCAAGAAGGAGTATCTATTATAAAAGAGTGTAGGGCAACTTAGCCTACAACTGATTATTTTGTCTTTTTTTGTTTCTTTTCTCTCTCGTTTGCTCATTATGTTCTTTCTTCGTAACCCTAATATTTACTGTTATCATCTCAACTTATATATTGGATTTATTGTCTAAAAGTGATACTCTTGGTGCATACTTAATTGATACTCCTATGGACTCTACAATTAAGTTAGATGCTGAGAGTGATACAGTTTTTGATAATGTAGGGCGTTATCGGAGATTAGCTGTTAAGCAGTTATGCGTCCTGATATTATCCATATTGTTGGTATGGTTAGTCAGTCCATGCATCATTCTCGTAAGCCTTATTAGGAGGTTATTTGTCGTATTCTTCAGTATTTAAAAAGAGTACTAGATAAATGATTATTATATCGTCCCTTATCATCCATGATTATTACTGACTTTTCTTATAAACGATATACTTCGGATTACTATACATTTAGTGGGGGTAATCTTATGACGTGGTGCAACAAAAAACATGTAGTTACACGTTCAAGTTTGAGGGTAGAGACTGAATACTTAGCCATGACTCATATTGCATATGAGATATTATGGGTTCGTTCTTTACTTCATGATAGAGGTATTAGTGTGCCCTCTCCTATGGAGTTACATTGTAACCAGACAACTATTTCATTGCCAGTAATTTGGTATTTCATGAGAGGACTAAACACATTGAAGTGGATTGCCATTTTATTTGAGTTCTCTTGATGTGGAAGGAGATTATCACACTATACATCAAGTATAGTGATCAGATGGGTTACATCCTTACCAAACCATTGTCTTAATCTGTATTCACCAATCTTTGTTTCAAGTTGGGTATTTTTAATCTTTATGCTCTGACTTGAGGGGGAGTGTTCGAGTTTTTATTTAATATTATTAGTAGTGTAGAGTAATAATGTAATTACTTATTATTATTATTAAGAGAGTGTAGGACAACATAGCTTACACAACTGATTATTCCCTTTCTTCCATCTCTCTCTCTCTCTAACCCTAATATCGGTTTTATTATTCAACTTCCCTCATTCATGTCATTTGCAAACTAGTGTCGATAAAAGAAATGTGCTAGCCAAACTAATCCTTACAAATTACATGCATAGTTATTGTTTAATGGGAAATGTTAATTTTGCTCTTTAGTCAATATTATTGGAGGTTTAGCATTAGAAGTTGAAGTTGAAGAGGGTGGATGTGTATCCGCCCCAAAGTAGAGGGGGTGTTGTGTGTGTAATCTGTTTTAATTAATTTTGTACTGTCCGAGAATCAGAATGTGATTTAGTGGTTGCATCTTTCATTTAGAGTTCTTTTTAGTTGGCTTGTTCTGAGTTGGTCTAATTGTTACAGTTTTAAATTTTGTGCCGCTTATGTTGGCATTTTTTGAATTCACAGTACTACTTGAAGACAGGAACTTGCAAGTTTGGAGCCACGTGCAAGTTTCATCATCCTAGAGACAAGGCTGGGATTGCTGGAAGAGTTTCCTTGAATGTTTTGGGCTATCCACTTCGTGTGGTTTGGTTTTTTGATTTTCCACTCTTTCATATCACTGCAATCACATGTTCATAAATGGGTTTATCCTCTTATGGCACATTCCCGATGATAGTTACTTTGCATTTCCCTCTACTTCTATGTTATACTTTTTTCAAATATTATATTTTGTTGCATAGTTGTATGGTATGATCATAAACAAGGATTCGATTCGGCATGTGCTTGCCAGAATGGCAAATCCTAGTTGGAAAAAATAAAATATGGTCATGAAGAGATCACAAAACAATTTTCTTTAAGTTATATTAGTGGAACATTAACTTGAACTTAATCCTGGTCCAAGCTTGATCAACCAGAGGAATGAGGGGAAAAAAAGAGGTTCAAGCTGTATAGTTGTGCTATTTTAATCATCAGTTCTGTTGATAATAAATGCATCAGTATAGAAGGCAATTCGCTGTTGAAGACAAATAGACGAAGTGAGTTAAATGACCATATTCATTTGGAATGACCAAAAGCCATAATGATATAAGCTTTATGAGAAGCAACTGAAAGAGAGAAAAAATGCATTCAGAATCAATTTTTGTGAGGCAAAATATTCCATTGGACAAATATAGGGCTTATGCTTTTTGTGTTTCCCTGTGCTGTGGGCATAGTATGTGCATCACACGTCTGAAGGGTCATACTTACACTGTTGGGTCTTTTCATGCTTCTTGGGTTGTATAAATTTTGTTTCCTGATTTTAGTATTCTTTCTCTTTTATGCTTCCTTTTAGAATGAGGTCGAATGTGCTTATTATTTGAGAACGGGACAATGCAAGTTTGGAAGCACATGTAAATTCCACCATCCCCAGCCATCTAATATGATGGTCACAGTGCGTGGTTCTCCTGTTTATCCACCTGTCCATTCTCCAACAACCCCTGGTCAGCAATCATATCAAGGAGCAATAACAAACTGGTCTGTGTCCAGAGCTTCTTTCATTCCCAGTCCACGCTGGCAGGGCCCTTCAAGTTACACTCCTGTAGTTCTGCCTCAGGGAGTGGTGTCAATCTCAGGATGGAATGCATACAATGTAAACTTTTAGTTATTTGAATTAGTTGCCTACTTGATCACTTTCATTGTCTATGTTATATTGAGGCGATAGAATGTATGCATCTTTACATTTATGCCAAAGTAAAGTTTTATGGAATAATAATTTTGCAATCTCCAATAATAATTTACTTGCTTTGACGTGAACTGACTTTTTATTTTTTTTTTCAAAAAACCTCTACTGGACTGTACTAGTTAGGTTGAGATAGAGGATGATCCAAATAATGCTGTCAATGTTGTCAGTTAAATCTTACATCTTTTGATATGGATCCTGACTTGCATATTTTGTCTATTGTACTTTTTAATGAGGTAAGGAGGAACACTATTTTTAAAAGCCATGACAACGGCCAGGTTTGGAGGTATTTACAAGTGCTCTTTTCCAGGGTCAGCTGGGTTCTGTTTCATCTTCTGAGAGCCAGCATCAAGCAGCAGGAAACAGTCATGTTTATGGGACATCACGCCAGAATGAAGCAGAAAATGGGGGATCTCAGGGAGTCTACTCTTCGTACCGTTCTGGTTCTGTGCCTCTAGGGTATTATGCATTGCAGAGGGAGAATGTTTTTCCAGAGAGACCTGGCGAGCCTGAATGCCAGTTTTACATGAAGACCGGAGATTGTAAGTTCGGTGCAGTTTGTAGGTTCCATCACCCTAGAGAGAGATTGATTCCTGCTCCAGACTGTGTCTTGAGTCCGCTTGGCCTTCCCCTGCGTCCGGTGAGTTGTATCTTCACTGGTATACTCTCTTAGTCAGCTACTAGCAACTCTTTTTGTGCTGCGTTGTTTACACTTGGGCATTAGTCTTGAAGCTACCTAGGATTTCACGTGGCTTTGAAATAAATAGGATTTCGTGAAGTCTTTTTCATGATATGGCTGAATTTTTTGTTGTGAATGGCTCTTGACCTTTTCCTTGATTTTAAAGTGGACGTTATTTTTGTTAGTGTGTGTGTGCGTGTCAGTTTGTTGCACGTACAAGTTGGGCAAGCACTTGCTTACATCTATGGACACTCATCATTTGTGTGGTTGATTATTACATAATCTATTTCATGGAATCTTTAGGAGAAATTGGAGAACTTTGTGTTTAGGATGAACAACCATAGTTGATATAATCATTCCACACAAGATAATTTCCATATGACTAAACATATGTTTGAAGATGCAATTTACTCAGAGCTGTTCGCCTTGTGTCTAATACCTTTTTTGTCTTCTCACAGTCGTGGTGCTGTGTCAGTAGTTCCTTATTGGTTTATCTAAACAATTGTTTAAGAATGAACTTCAGGAAACTTGAATTCTAATGCTTAAAGTAAACATTTGTAGACTGTAATAACTATAGTCCACATTTGAAGTGGAGTGAATTCGAACCTTGGGAAATATTCAATAGGGTGGGCAAACTGTGAAATGACTTTGGAATCCTAGTTCAAGGGCTGGGTTGCAAGACAAATAATAAAGAATATGGAGACTAGGGGAGTGTAAGCCGATCGTCCCCGATGCGATTATACACGTGGAATCCCACAAGCAGAACATAGGGGGGCGGGGGTGAATAGGTGTNTTCGTCCCCGATTTGATTATACACGTGGAATCCCACAAGCAGAACATAGGGGGGCGGGGGTGAATAGGTGTTTGATAATTCCCGCAAAAACTTACACCAATTTTAGACCTATTTACATCAATTACTAAGTAAATGATTGATTAAAGAATTAATGCTTAATGAACCCATTTTTCAATGAACAAATCCTTAATTGAATGTGTGGATGCTAGGTATCCACTTAAACAATGTAAATTTACCATTCTCATCCCTCTAATGGTCCTTCCACCAATTCAAAACACAATGATGATAATATGAGATTCAATAATCAAAGCAGCATATCATCAAACACATGGTATGTATGTAGTGTGTGTGTGTGCAAAATAAAATAATAAACAATTAACCACAACACAAAGCAATTTTAACGTGGAAACCATTTTGGAAAAACCATGGGACCACCCAAGTCCACCTAATGTAATCTACTATACTTAATGTGGGATTACAAGTTCCAAAGTCATATACCTCAACAAAATCCATGGTTACATGCTTTCCTACTTGTCAATCTTACCTTCTGAGTCCCATGGCAAGGTCCTGAGTATTATCTTTAAAGCAATATTTTTAAAATCGGGATCCTATCTTGTATCAATGAAGGTTATAGACGGGATCGTAGGGTTGGATCGAGAATCGTATGATCCTATCAATTGAGAAAATGAGACAAAATATATATGTAGCCATATAAAATTCTCAAAAACAAGACTTGAACAAGCCTAATATCTATGCAAATAGGAATATTATGATAAAGATCAAACTTAAGGTATGATTGAATTTTTTTTTTTTTTTGATAAATAAAAAAGGGGTGGGGGCAAGGAAGAGAGCCCAACGACCACCTCGATAGGCCCTCACCGGTGGGATCATAAGGCCCCTGACTGCGCCTAGAACACCTCTCGGGACCAGACCTAGCTAGGCTAGCATAGTGACCAACCACCAAGCCCCAATGGGAACTCCAAGACTCGAACTCCCAACTTCAAGGTGAGGAATAAGGCCAGTATCCCACTAGACCACCCTACGTGGTGTGATAAACTACAATTTGAACATTAAAGAAAGTTTGAGATTGAAGACAGACTGTTAATTTTGTGAGGTGGTGCAAAGAAGAATAAAAAAATTTAAGTATTTTTATCTTAACTTTCATAGAAGAGGTAAATAGTAGAGACGAGAAAGTTAAAAGACTGTTGGATAATAACNAGGTGTGGTATGATTGAAATTTGATAAACTACAATTTGAACATTAAAGAAAGTTTGAGATTGAAGACGGACTGTTAATTTTGTGAGGTGGTGCAAAGAAGAATAAAAAAATTTAAGTATTTTTATNTGGTGTGATAAACTACAATTTGAACATTAAAGAAAGTTTGAGATTGAAGACAGACTGTTAATTTTGTGAGGTGGTGCAAAGAAGAATAAAAAAATTTAAGTATTTTTATCTTAACTTTCATAGAAGAGGTAAATAGTAGAGACGAGAAAGTTAAAAGACTGTTGGATAATAACTTTAGGCTATTCCACATTCAAACAAAAAAAGTATAAAGAAAAAAATTAAAGGCCATCTGGCTATGCTCACTCATTGTCAGAGCAGATCAAATATAACCATAGACGAACAAAAAAAATACATTTTTGGAAAATAAACTTTCAGTAGTTTTTCTCATCCTTTAAAATTTCCCAATAGACTCACAAGTATATAAGATATTCACATTTATATTGAGTACTTAACTACAAAAATCGAAAATATGGATTGAATTGCTTGGTAACTGAATACGCCTACTAAACAAACTCAACAACTTGGATCGGTAAAGTCACTGTTTGGGATCGGGATCCTAAGATCTAGATCCCGATTTATTAAGATCCTATGAATTTGGGATCCTCCATAAGACTTGGATTGATTTGTTAGAATCGGGATTTTGATAACCAAGCTTTAACAGGCGAATCGAGCTCGATGAACGACTTCTCCTCTTTCGATCTTCAAGGATTACTCTCAAGATCTACTTGATCTTTTTCACACACCGATGTGGTTTTGGTGGGTTTTACAATATCTTTCTCTTGGTTTGAAACTGAAGTATGAGATTAATCAAGATAGATTTGACCTTGTAGTAGTTTGGGGATCTAGGGTTTCTTGTTGACTCTTTGTTTAATATACGATGCAGCTTTAGGCTTAATAAGAGTTACCCTAGTTTGAAAAGGTTTGCCCATTTATATAGACCCTTGTAATTAGAATCAACTTGGTGCCCAAGAAAACTCAAATTTGCGAGGGATTGCTCATGCCGTTAGAGGGAAGTTGCTAGTAGCAGGATCAGACGAACAAATCTAGTCTAGCTGGTCAGTGATCTCTTGAGCAGTTTCCAGGCACTTGAGTGACCAGAGAGCAGTTTAGTAGGCCGTCTCCACTGCCAACCAGGGGTGGCTCAAGACAATTTGAGGCCTAAAACAGTATCTCTAAATGAGGCTTTCTATGTTTAGTATAGATTTATTTTTCTTGTTTTTTGACTTAACAAAAGTACTAATTAAGTTTCTATATTTAAGTTTTACTACAATAACTTTGTCAATTGACAATATCGTTATTTTAATTAATCTCTCTTATAACATAAGTAAGATTTTATCAATTTTAATTTGAATTTTTTTTTTTAGAAGCAACTGCTAAAAGAATTGTTAATTTTTTTTCAATATTTTTTATCTCATTATTTTCTATTTTATTATTATTTTTAATATTTTCTATGTCATTATCTTCTATTTTATTATCTTCTATTTCATTATCTGCTTTTTATCTTCAAAATTTTTATCTAAACTTTTTATTACTAGTAACAAATTTATCAAGAGATTTTTTTTTTAATATTCGTTTTAGTTAGTGTTGGGCTTGGGGAGAGATAGAGAGAGAGTGTGTTGATTGTAAGTAATGATTTAATTTTTAATTTGATAATTTTGTTTTTACCATTTTTTTTTAATTACTAGTAACAAAATTATCAAGAGAATTTTTTTTTATATTTGTTTTAGTTGGTGTTTGACCGAGAGAGAGAGTTGATTGTAAGTAATGATTTAACTTCTGATTTGATAATTTTGTTTTTACCATTTTTTTTTAATTTCTAATTTTTTAGGTTTTTAATGTTTAGGTGGATTATGGGCCTAAAATTTGAGGCCTTCTATAGAAATGGGGCCTAAAGCCCCAAACTTTTTTATTTCTACTATTGGGCCACCCCTACTACCAACTGTTTTGCCTTCTCCGAATTTTTCCCTAGTGTTCAGTGACTGCGCTAGCTGTAGGCTAGCAAGTAGAGAACGGTCCCTACTAGTGTTTAAGTTGAAAATCAAGCAAAAACTTGCCCAGCTTAGCAATAAAGGGTGTTGCTCAATCAGGGGTTGAACCATGACTTAATTTATGCTTTTCAAAATAACATTTGAAGTTTTAAAATCTTTTCAAGAAAAGTCCTATGAACCATGTACCAAACACTATGCAATCCATTTAATTAAAACCTAATGAGCCAAAGTAAAAATACCAAGGATCACTTAAGTTACTTTTTCTAAGCATTGAAGGATATTGGGAAGACTTCCAGATGTGGCTTATATCTTGAATTCCTTCCTTCTTTTAGCTTTATGATCATGGATGTAGTTAAGATTTACATTGTGACTTCACGGAATTAGCCAATTACAATGAACAATTTTCTAACATTCTCCCCCTTTGACAATTCCGTAAAAAAATGCAAGAGTAAGAACTTCAAATATTACAACTCGAAAACTACAATCGAAACAAACCGAATTTTAAATGAATCTCAACAATCAAGTACAAGTCACTCAATCTCTCCTCTAAATATAAAACTATCTTCTTGATGTAGCTTTGAAGAATCATAGTTCTGCACACAACAACTTAACTAATATCTCATGAAAAGTATCATATGTAACCATGGCAAAATATAATCATAGGTATGAAAACACCAAGGACAACAAGCAGGTGTATGTATGTAACATGCAAGTACAATCTATGCAAACATGCAATCTGTCCTATCACATTTGTGCTTGAGATCTTTTAGATTCATCAATAATAGTTCACCAACTTGTTCTCTCCCTTAGTTGGTGTTACAAAAATGCAAATAACAAGTGAAAAGCATAATAAGTGAAAAGCATGTGATTTCACACCAAGTTTGTAAATGTATCTCGCTGAGTAATTTCAACAAACTCCCCCTTTTTATATCCTCCGTTCAACTAATCCCTAGCTAGTCATCAAGTTTCTCTCGAGATTTACCCAAAATTCTCTCTTTTTTTGTTGGGAAGTGCCAAACACAACCTCATAACAAGCATAGTAGAGAACATGAATAAAGGAGATATACATAATGAAATATCTAGCATAACGGAATAAGCATAGCTGCATAAGAGAATAAGTAAAGGGCCAAATTATGTCATAGAACATCCTACTCAAAGCTAATATCTAGTAATGAAAGCATAATACTGAATGTATATCACAAAACAAAACAAAACAAGAGTACCTAAACAAAGGACAATGAACAAATAAAGCTCCCAAGCTCCTATAGAGTCCTAAGGCTAAGTCTCTGAACATCAAACAGTATCAGTAGTTGTATCATCTTCACCATCTTAGGGGTGATCCTCAAGCCCATCATTGTCACCTGCATTTGGGCTACCAACGTTCTTCTTTTCCTTCAGCATACACATGATACGCCTCAATCAGCTCCCAATATTCCCCAAGGTAGCCGCCTCTGTCCTCTCCAGATTCATAACTCTCCTATCAGCAAAGTCTAACATCGGAGAAGTAAAACTGTGTTGCTTATCTGTGCAATTCTGCATCTGTATAAGTGTATCCATAACAGCAGTCCACCGGACAAACAAAGAATCGAGAGTAATACCTGGAGGTGGTGTGGTAGTACTACTCGCACATAGGTGTCCTGGTGCTGGTGCTCTAGAACTAAATGATCCAATGTCGGTGGGAGGAATAGGTATCTCAGTCTCCATCTTATTATTGTCAATCTCAACATCCATAGGGTTGCACGTGTACCTAGCATGTGTCTCACTTTATCTCATCAAACCCTTACCAAGAGGCTTCTTTGGTTACTTCTTGTGATCAATACTCAAAATAAGAGCTCCTTTAGTCATACAAATACATGTGATCAAAGAACCAAAAAGCAGACCATCAGTCACTCTACCCTCATTGAAAGCTCAGGGACTTGGTTGGGTCTATGTTATAATTGGCAACTAGATTGAACATCCTATAATTTCATGTCAAATACTTTTGGGAGAATTTTTTATGGTTCTATCCATTCGGCTAAGGTGAACCATAAAGTTTAGATGCAACATCAGAAAGCCTGGGTAACTCATTTACATGCCTATGCTCAAGGTGGTGACTATCAAATCAACAGAGAATTCGAACAATATTTGACGAATATAAGTAGTGAAGTGCTTAGAGTTGAGATATGTGTCCGATATGTGTGCATAGAATTCTTTAACTATGTTCTCAGTTTTCGGCTCTGAGGACATGAAGGGACAAGCCTAACCTCTTGACTCAAAATTTACTGGTGTTGGAAGAATTCCTTATACCATTGAAGTTTACGTCTCCCTCAACCATCACAATCTGTGTAGCATACTTGGTCCTATATCTATCATGATACTTTGGCTCTTGGAAGTGACTTCTTCTGTAATAAACACAGACCCTAGCTCTATTCTCAGCTTGTGGTGCCATTACCATAAACAATCGGTGAAAAGGTGTTCAAATGTGTGAATGTCACATATCTAAAGTCGAATCACACCAAAGCACACTTTACAAGGAGTTTGGGGGTATAGGTGTTTAGAGGGGTTTAGCTCGAGTTTGAAGTGAAGTGAAATGAATTAGAATGATAAAACATTTGACTTTTAAACCCTAGGGCCAGACATTTAACGGTGGCGGCTCGACTGGTCCTTGAAGCTTTGCTGTTCAATTGACAGTTTGGTTTCCAATCCTCCATCGAACCAGTAGGACTCATTCTCTACCCTTCACTCGACTCAATGAGCCCTCAAATGCATGTATGATGTATGTTCATGAATAAAAACAATTAAATACACATGCATGGATGAACTTCAGATCAAAATGTGATGCAATTTTAAAATTTCTAAGTGAAATGCACAAAGTCATTAATTATGAAAATCACATTAAGTCATCAATAATTGATCCATCCTTATTTCATCATCACACACATCACTCTAAAGTATAATTATTAATATAGAAAGTTGAAACAGTAAAAGTAATATTAGAGTTAGAGAAAGCTTGAGAAAGAAGAGAAAGATGGAAGAAAGAGACGGACAGAGAAAAATCAGTTGTGTGTAGGCTATGTTGCCCTACGCCTCCTTATTTATAATAAATTGATATTGTGGGTTATGACAATATTACGCCACATTACTGATAATATAAAAAGATAAGAACTCTTAACATATTCCCGTAAGTTGAAACATAAAGATCAAAGATGCCTAGTTTGGAGCAAAGATTTTTGAAAACAGATCGAGCCAAAGGTTTGGTAAGGATGTCACCTAACTAATCACTTGACTTAATGTATGGTGTGATAATCTCCTTTCACATCAAGAGATCTCAAACAAAGTGACAATCTACTTTGATTTTGATTTGTTTTGACCTATCATGAAATACTGACTTGCTGGCGATGAAAATAGGTGCCTGATTGTCATATTGCCTCTCCATATGATAGGCCACATTGATGCCTATATCGTGTAGTACAAAAACAAATCTACAACATTTCACATGTAGTATGAGCCATGGCCAGGTATTCTACTTCAGCGCTTGAATGTGCAACTAAATTTTGTTCCTTACTGCACCAACCAATAAGATTACTATCAATAAAAGTACAATAACCAAAAGTAGATTGTCTATTAATATGACTACCTGCCTTATTAGCAATAGAAAAGACAATAATAGTCATTGATGATGAAGGGCGATATAACAATTCTTTACCTAGTTCTCCTTTCAGAAAGCGAATAATATGACAAATAGCCTCTCCATAAGGCTTACAAGGAGAGTGCAGGAACTGACTAGCCACACCAATTGCATTGGTAATATTAGGACATATCACTGTGAGATAAATCAATTTACCAGTCAACCTCCGATAGCACCCTCCATTATAAAAAACTTCACCACTCTTAACATTGAACTTAATTGTGGAGTCCATGGGAGTATTAGTTGGACGTTCACCAAGAGTAGTTGTCTCAGACAATAAATCTAGTCCATACTTTTGTTTGCATAAAGTGATACATTTTTTAGGCTGAGTAACCTCAATCCCAATAAAGTATAGATTAAGACCTAAGGCTTTAGTATGAAGCTGCTTGCCCATGTGGATCTTAAAATAGACAATACCTTTTGAGTAATTACCACTAAATGTTATGTCACAACATACATAATAAGAATAATAATACTTGTTGAAGCCCGACGAATAAAAATTGAACTATTTGAAGTAGAGTGTTGAAAACCATAATGAAATACAACAATATTGTACTTATCAAACCAAGCCCGTAGTAATTGTGTCAAACCATATGATGCTTTCTTCAAACGACAGTCCAGTTGTTCCTTACAAGATACAACGTAGCCTGGAGGTTGTACTATGTATATATCCTCTTGTGGGTTGCCATGTAAAAAAGTATTCTTGATGTCCATTTGATATAGAGGCCAATCACAACTAAGAAATAAGAAGTTTAACAAAGTTAAGACGAGCAACATGGAAAGAAGTCTTACATTTACAGTAATCCACACAATATATTTGGATGTAGCCTTTAGCAACTAAGTGTGCTTTCAATCGTTTAACTGGACCATCAAAATGATAGTGTAGACCCAACGATAATGACAGCTGACCGATTGCTTATTAGAAGGAAGAGGGGTAAGGTCCCATGTCTGATTCTCATGAAAGGATTTGATTTCCTCATCTATAGCCAATTTTCAATTAGGAGATGTCAATGCTTGTTTCAAGGAGTTAGGAACAANGCCAGGTATTCTACTTCAGCGCTTGAATGTGCAACTAAATTTTGTTCCTTACTGCACCAACCAATAAGATTACTATCAATAAAAGTACAATAACCAAAAGTAGATTGTCTATTAATATGACTACCTGCCTTATTAGCAATAGAAAAGACAATAATAGTCATTGATGATGAAGGGCGATATAACAATTCTTTACCTAGTTCTCCTTTCAGAAAGCGAATAATATGACAAATAGCCTCTCCATAAGGCTTACAAGGAGAGTGCAGGAACTGACTAGCCACACCAATTGCATTGGTAATATTAGGACATATCACTGTGAGATAAATCAATTTACCAGTCAACCTCCGATAGCACCCTCCATTATAAAAAACTTCACCACTCTTAACATTGAACTTAATTGTGGAGTCCATGGGAGTATTAGTTGGACGTTCACCAAGAGTAGTTGTCTCAGACAATAAATCTAGTCCATACTTTTGTTTGCATAAAGTGATACATTTTTTAGGCTGAGTAACCTCAATCCCAATAAAGTATAGATTAAGACCTAAGGCTTTAGTATGAAGCTGCTTGCCCATGTGGATCTTAAAATAGACAATACCTTTTGAGTAATTACCACTAAATGTTATGTCACAACATACATAATAAGAATAATAATACTTGTTGAAGCCCGACGAATAAAAATTGAACTATTTGAAGTAGAGTGTTGAAAACCATAATGAAATACAACAATATTGTACTTATCAAACCAAGCCCGTAGTAATTGTGTCAAACCATATGATGCTTTCTTCAAACGACAGTCCAGTTGTTCCTTACAAGATACAACGTAGCCTGGAGGTTGTACTATGTATATATCCTCTTGTGGGTTGCCATGTAAAAAAGTATTCTTGATGTCCATTTGATATAGAGGCCAATCACAACTAAGAAATAAGAAGTTTAACAAAGTTAAGACGAGCAACATGGAAAGAAGTCTTACATTTACAGTAATCCACACAATATATTTGGATGTAGCCTTTAGCAACTAAGTGTGCTTTCAATCGTTTAACTGGACCATCAAAATGATAGTGTAGACCCAACGATAATGACAGCTGACCGATTGCTTATTAGAAGGAAGAGGGGTAAGGTCCCATGTCTGATTCTCATGAAAGGATTTGATTTCCTCATCTATAGCCAATTTTCAATTAGGAGATGTCAATGCTTGTTTCAAGGAGTTAGGAACAAACATAGATGACACAGTCTATGTAAAACTATGAAACGATGAAAAAAGCTAATGTAAAGGGACAAAGTTAGAAATGAGATGCTTGGTGTAATGACGAGTACCTTTTCTCAATGCAATGGGTAAATCAGAAAAGGATGAACTAGTTGACGGCTCACAAGTGATAGTTATGGAGTGGGAGCATATGGAACAATCTATTTGTCTTTCGAATGATAATACACCTACACTGGAGTAGTAGTCGAGGATGAAGAAGAATTACATTCTAGTATAATAGCCAACAAGAGCTCCCCTTGATCGAAAAAAACTAAATCAGGTGAAAGGATATGAAAAAAAAAGAAAATGGCTCCAAGAAGATAACATGAGTATTGACGAGAAACAAGATTATAATAGCGATATCATTTTTGAGTGCGNTCTTGATTGAAAAAAACTAAATCAGGTGAAAGGATATGAAAAAAAAGAAAATGGCTCCAAGAAGATAACATGAGTATTGACGAGAAACAAGATTANCCTTGATCGAAAAAAACTAAATCAGGTGAAAGGATATGAAAAAAAAAGAAAATGGCTCCAAGAAGATAACATGAGTATTGACGAGAAACAAGATTATAATAGCGATATCATTTTTGAGTGCGTTAATATCCCAAAAAGACACACTTGACATAGCGGGGATAAAGTTTATTCTGACTTGGACCAAGTAGATGAACAAAGACACCACAACCAATGACACAAGAAGAGAGAACAAAAAGACAATTTTTCAAGATAAAGTACCAAGAAATGAGCTTTGTTAGCTAAGATGGAGGAGGACATCTGATCAATAAGGTA